TCTGTGACAGCTTTTTGACCACGCAAACTAGGAAAACACCCGAGGAGTTGGGGAGCAATAAAAGAAAGGAACTCTGGCGCCCAATGAGCTGGATTTCCTACGTGAGAGAGCACCGAAGCTCTTGTTTTATTGAAACAACTGTTTCTTGGCATTTTTTAAAAATATTGCTCCCTGAAGAAGGAAAAAATAGATTGAAGGTTAACTTAATTAATTTTAAATTTTAATTTAAATTATTTCTTCCTAACGAGGGACATTAAATGCTAAGAAATAAGACTTGTGGAACTTTAGGAAGTCACAAACCATTGTAATAGCTGAGATTTTTCTGTTTCCCCCTTCCCCAAGAACTAACGTTCACTCCTACTAAGAATGCTTGATTTCAGCTACTGTATGTTTGGTCCCAAGCAGCTTAATCTCTGCCCTCAGTAGCACAGTGAGGGATCTCAGCAGAGTGGAAATGCCTTTTAGATTCCCTGAGGATAGACCATTGCAGCCCACGTGTGAAGGCTTGGGAGACAAAAGCTATCTAAGAGTGGAGAAGGAGCTAAACACGCCTGACAAAGCACCTGGGAGTGGAAGGGGCTTTGCCACACCTTCTCTCATCTTCCCTCCTCCGCACTCCCAGCCCCACAGCCTATTTAGGGAAGCCAGAGGCAACCATGGAGCTTGTTGGAATGGACTAGACCTCCTTCCCTTAGGTGAGAGACAGGGGTAGATTGGATAAGAAAACAAGGTTTAGATCTAGACTGGACTGGACATTTTAAAACTTATAAAGGAATTAAAAGCTATGGGTTTCATACAAGATGTCACCTAACGTTGACAACTGGGCATCTACAAAAGCAGTAGAGGCAGAAAAATAAACCTGTTTCCTAATTGTACTTTACCAAGTTGAGTACACCCAGGTAATCTGGTTATTCAATATCTAGTAAGCAAAGGTTACAGGGTGCAAAGGTACAAGAACAAATGAAATATCTTCTCCCACCCATCTTTCGCTGTTATCAAACCCGACTAAGCTAATTGAGACTGCTTTTATCCGATATTAAGTGCAATCTTTTACTTCTCTTCATAGATGCCTGCTAGAATTCTGAAGTCTGTTCGTGGACTCTGATTATTTAATATAACAATTAATGCTTTGCAACTACTAAGAGAATTTAGAATCCTTTAACGGGGGTTGTTTCATTGTTCTAGCCAAAGATTCTCTGTCACCCCATAATTAACAAGTGAGCTTCTCATGAATAATAGAGAATGGTTAGTGTCTCTACTTCTTTATCTACTAAAGTCCAAACACCACAGGGTAGTAACAGCATTAAGGGCAGCATCCTATAGAATAATATCAACATTCCCAAATATTGGTAGGCTTTTTGGTTTGTTGAATTTTTATTTTTATAAAGCTCTAGCACAAAAGTTGTGACATGTTTCTTAATTGCAGAGGAAGAGAGGGCTGCTTTTCAAAGCATATTTTTCAAGGAAGAACTTTTTATTTTACATTACAAAGTGATTTCTTACAAACTTTCATTAGTCACAAAATTGGATGTGTTTTTTCCTCCACTTATTTATTTTCCAGAAAGTATGGTAATATCATCCTTCCTCTGGAGAGTACAGTGTTAAGGGGTAAGTAGAATGAATTTTGGACCCCTCCTCAGCTCTTCTAAGCCTGAAGGTCTCTCTAAGCATAAGACGTGTCTGGTTGTAAATGAAAGACATGTGGAACAAGGAGAAATTTTATTTTGTTTTTTACAAAGTCTTAAAGAAGCCAAAACATCCAGCTCAAAAAAGTCATCTAGGAAAACACTTAGGTCTCAAAAGCTCATAAGCCCAAAAAGATAATGAACAAGACCCATCTATCTATTGCCAATTTACCCGGGCTTTCCACCCTCTTCAATCCTCGTGTGAAAACCTCCCACACCCTAAATGCTGCCTCTCCATGTCCCACAGTGATCTTGGGATCCTCCTTGCTCCTTGGCCTTTCCTGTCTGTGATGTGAAATCCTGTTTCCTGTCTCTGAGGGAAAAATAGTGGCTCTTTCGTTGGCTCCCCACAGCTGTCCTGAATTCCATTGTCCCTGATGCTTTCTCTGAGGCCCCTCCCTGAGGGAGCCAGAGGTGACAGGTTGAGCCAGAGGTGACAGGTTGAGCCAGAGGTGACAGGTTGAGCCAGCGGTGACAGCTGCAGCCAGGTGGTGGCCTGGGAGCTCCTCTGGGGCGGGAACCAAGTCCTACTCAGCTCTGTCTTCCATTGCCCCAGCATGGCAAGTACTGGTCAAGTTGGTTTTGTTTCATTTTGTGCACATTTTGCATTTATTGAGTCACTGGATGAAAATAAGGAAGAGAAAATTTATCTTCCTCCAGTGATCTTATCATAGCCCGGGTCCTAGATGTTCATTGTCAGGAAGTCAGAACACCTAGTGGGGAGGTTACAACTCGAACCGTTTTTCTCCCCGCTGAACCTCCCCCGCCTGGCACTTACCAAGGGTGCTCCTCGCTTCAGTCACTTGGTTTTCCTCTGTGGCTGCTGAGAAGGACAGGGGCTGAGCACTCCCAGACCAGCTGTTCCTTGCTTGCTGTTCTCTCTGCACGGCTAGATGCCATCAAGAAGCTATCTTGGTTCACTAGATAGACCCACCATTTCCCAACTAACAGCTTTCCAAAAAGCTCTCATTTAGATGAATGGGGCAATTTATAAGCAAGAGAGGACAGACAGGAAGAAAGATGGGATGGGGAGCGCTGCTCCAGCCCTGCCAGTGGGGGCCGGCGTGTGTGCCCGGGGCCAGCCTTGCCCGTGCTCGCTCCGTTCACGCAGATGAGCTGCCGCCCTGCACTGGAAACGCTGGAAGTGTTCTTTGCCCATCGCTGTTCATTACCAGGAAGAAAAATCACCTCCTTATTTGAAGCTCTTTTGTTCACCATGGCCCATTGGCCATGACTGATGTTGCTTTAAGTAACGCAGTTAAAACTGCTTAACCTCGGAAAGCCTCCTACATAGAACGTGCTTGCTATAGTTAAGATAAAATCCACAGGAGGCAGAAACTGTAAAAGGACAATAGGTGCCTTCTTCAAACTTCCCTGCGCCATAATTCTAATATGTAGCTACACAAGATCCCACTCTCAAGCCACATGGCTTGCAACTCATTACAAAAATGTCCAGGAGTTAAGAATTGTATTCTTATATACCCTAAATATTGCACAATGCTGTTAACATCAATCTACCTTTTAAACTAAGATCATATCAAATGAAAAGTATATGGTACTATTTCCACTGTAAGTAATAAATACATTATTTTATTTCATTCTTCATACCTCCCATTAAATGATTTCTAAAAAAAATCAATTTCTAAAATTTCTAAAAAAAAATGATTTCTAAAAAAATGTTTCTAAAAAAACATCATTTTACAGTTCATTCACTTTTTCAATATTGTTCCAACTATTCTTAAATTAATTAGAATATGGTTTGCTAGTTCCCCTCAGCAACTATATTCTTTTAGTAATCAATAGGTGTTTTGTGCAGAACATTCTGTGGATCTTATCTTAAATAAGACAATAGCTTCCACTACAACAAAGTCACTATTTTTCTCAACATACTTGAACTTTCTATGAAGATAAAGCCAATGAAATAAGGAATGCCCTCAGCAGTTTATTAGCATTTAGCTAGTTAGACTTCATTAATAAGAGGGGTACCTGACATCTCCCATTAGTTCTGTTACCACAATTGCTATAATAATAGTGGCACATAAGGGGGGAAAAGACTTAAAGGGAGTTTTACTTAAAAATTAGGCCAACATGCATGAAGTAAACAATTTAAAAAACCCATAAATAGACATCTAGCTATATAGTTATTACATTCAATAACTTAGCATGTTATGCATGATGGTTGTGACCTCCAAAATAATTTAACGCCTTGAGCTGAGATTAAATGCAGAACATTAATTTTTCCTTCTGGTTGTCAAGCCAACCAAGAGACCCGTCAAATCCATTTAAATAAAGCCTGCATCATGTAATAATATTAAAGGGAATAAAATATTAATATGGGCCTGTGGTAGAACATTGGCCAATAGAGCTTCAGTGAGGTGCTTTTAATTTATCACCCTGACAATCCGTCTTTGTACTGCAACTTGGAATTAGAGCATCATCTAAGAATTATTTTTTGTGCTAGAAGATGGGCCCATTTTAAGGAAGCTTACAGGTCCTCCAAATGCTCAGAAATTTTTAGTATCTCCAAGGAAAATCAGGATTTCTAGTCTAATTGTATGAATTCAAAGAGATACCAAGTTACAAAGGCCAGAGATCAGTTGTAATAAAAATGAAACTTTAAAGGAAAAAGGAAGACACTAATTTATTAATCGAGACTTGATGAGCTTTCCCCATAATAACAGTACATCTAAGTTAACATATTACTTACACTCCACATGCACCATGCCTAACCAGTGCAGCTTCTCCCAGACATATTCTGATTTTATTTCTGGATATTATGTTTTTCTGGATCATTTTCCAACGAATTTGCTCTCTGAACAGTGGAGGTTTTAAGTACATATTCTTAAATACTACATCCTCATTCTAAAGACAACTGCCCTGCAGGAACCACGCTTATTCCATATAGATATTTTAGATTTAGGCGTATGGTGGTTACAGATTAACAGTGTGAGAAATCTTTAAAGCTAATCAGGTTATTTTTCCACTCTGGTCACAAAGAAACCAGAAACCAGGGGCCGCCATCTTGGGGCCGCCATCTTGCATCCCCATGGCTCACCACAGTGCTGCACTTCCCCGTGAGCGGAGCTTCCGCTGCTTCAGAGAATCCTCTGTGAGAGGGAACCAGGCATAAGACACAGGAGGAGACAGAAACCAGGCCACAGGAAAAGAACCTTTTAAAAACTTCCCAACCAAGCACTGAATACTCCAAACAAAGCGGCGACTCAGCAGCAATCAGACCCGACCGGAAATCGCGAGCGCGGGGCAGAGGTCAGTCTCCTCCCCCGGAAGGGAAATGGCTCAGCCGGGACCCAACCCCACGGCGGATATGGAGACGGAAGTTGAGACAACTGCAGGTGGCCCCTGGTGGACCGGGAGCCGCTTGATGAAATGTAACGGACACACTTCCAATGTCCCCAAGGGCGACTATAATCCTCTAGGTGACAGAAAGCCATTTTTTCCGAAGAGTCAGAGCGTCAGCCGAGTTCTTTGTCTCTGAATGTCCGGCATCCATTCCTGTGCTGCTTTCTACAAAGTGCGCTCCCCAGATCGACTGATCGGAGCTGTATCGACAATGAAGCAGTGGACTTGCTAACCAAATTTGAGGGAAGCCCTATTTTTATTTCACAGTCACCTCCGGTAGATACTTGGGACTCAGGAGGTGTCATTAGTGCACTGTTTCTGCAGCCTTTACCTCATTTGCTAAGTGACCGCATGACAGTCATCTCTGTGAGATGTTTCTCTTCTTTATCTAAGCCCCATAAGAGAGGTCACACAATTAACCCGAGAGAAAAGACAGAGAAAGATGCATTGTTTACATTAGTTACCCGGATGAAACCAGAAACTAATACAATAATGCAAAGAGTTTATCTGTCACTGAAGGGCCATTAATTCGTCTTCTGGAGCAAAGGCAGACACACAGGTTTGTAAGTGACTGTCTTCCCCAGCTGGCATCCTGTAGACTTAGTGAGGTAAATGCATGTTCTGCTGTCATATAGCTTCCCTTCCATACTCCCAGGCAGTGCTCATTGATAAATAATGTAGGTAACACAGATGTGGCCTGAGGAATAACCACAGGATTTGACACCAGGACAGTTAGTGGTTATCCTGGATTGATTGGTGTGAAGTGAAGAGAGAAGGTGAGGAAGAAATAGGAGACAGCTGGTAGAGAAAACTCTCTTAGGAAATTTAGTTAAAAGGATAAATACGGGGCTGTATCTGGAGAGGAGAAGTGGTTTTGGAGGGTTGTGTTTGTTTTTAAGATGTAAAGGGAGAGGTATAAGTGTGCCATACAATTATGGGAAGATCTAGTAGACAGAGGGAAACTGATGAAACAGAAGGCAGGGGAAGGTTGCGAGGGCAATGTCTCTGAACAAGCCAGACCGCTAGAGATACTGGTATCAGCATCGTGTGCACATGCAAAGGGATGGGAGGAACGCGGGCAGTTTGTGCAGAGCTGCAGAAGGGCAGCTAGAGTGCGAGTGCCTCTCGCGGGTGGGTGCTGTGGTTGAGGATACAGTGAAAGTTCCTTTCTGACTGTAAAAATAAAATCTGAGAATGCAAAAGGGAAAGAAGGTGTTTGAGTTTTGAAAATAGGATATGAAAGCCTCATCTAGGAGAGAGTAGAATTACAGTGCCAGGGCAAATCAGTATGACTGCTGTCAGCACTAACAGCCCACTGGAGGTCCGTGACCATGACTTTAAATAAAACACAGGCAGAATGACTGTGTGTGTTTCTCCAGCAGCGAGCAGGCAGGTGTTGGCAGAAGTAGGCAGGGAGTGAAGAAATGACTGACAGCCTTGGGAGAAGTGGAAAGCTGTCTAGCATGAGAGACTTCTGTTTGGAACACCCCCAAATTAGAGGTGAAATTTCGGCTGAATGTTGGACTCAGTAGTGGTAATTAAATACAAAATAAGAAAGCAAACCATACCTAAAGTAATAAAAATCCACACCTTGACACTGATAATTTTATAAGATAACATAATTTAATAATATTCAGATATTATTGGAAGACAGTTCCTAATAAGAACTAAGAGCATGTAGGAAAAAATTCTGGGATCTAAGAATACAGAATATTGGTTCTTTCATTGAGTTAATCCATGATTTCCTGTGTTTTAAGGAAAGGATTCTTTTTCCCATTGTAAACAGAAGACTAGTAAATTTGTTATTATTTAGGTAATTGGGTAATTCCCTAAACAAATAGGGAAATATTTAGTCATTTACTATTGCCTGGAATATTATTTTTCTAAAGAAGACAGAAGAATGGCCAACAAACATATGAAGAAATGCTCAACATCTCTAATCATCAGGGAAATGCAAATCAAAACCACAATGAGATATCACTTAACCCCAGTGAGAATGGCCTTTATCAAAAAATCTCCAAACAATAAATGCTGGCGTGGTTGCGGAGAGAGAGGAACACTCCTACACTGCTGGTGGGACTGCAAACTAGTTCAACCTCTGTGGAAAGCAATATGGAGATACCTTAAAGCGATACAAGTGAATCTACCATTTGATCCAGCAATCCCATTGCTGGGCATCTACCCAAATGATCCAGTGACACTCTACAAAAAAGACACCTGCACTCGAATGTTTATAGCAGCACAATTCATAATTGCAAGGCTGTGGAAACAGCCCAAGTGCCCATCAATCCAAGAATGGATTAATAAAATGTGGTATATGTACACCATGGAGTACTATTCAGCTCTAAGAAACAATGGTGATATAGCACACCTTATATTTTCCTGGTTAGAGCTGGAACCCATACTACTAAGTGAAGTATCCCAAGAATGGAAAAACAAGCACCAGATATATTCTCCAGCAAACTGGTATTAACTGAGTAGCACCTAAGTGGACACATAGGTGCTACAGTAATAGGGTATTGGGCAGGTGGGAGGGGGGAGGGGGGCGGGTATATACATACATAGTGAGTGAGATGTGCACCATCTGGGGGATGGTCATGATGGAGACTCAGACTTTTGGGGGGAGGGGGGGAAATGGGCATTTATTGAAACCTTAAAATCTGTACCCCCATAATATGCCAAAATAAAAAAAAATAATTAAAAAAAAAAAAATTTGGAAACTCAGAAAAAAAAAAAAAAAGAATTCAAGGAAGGGTCTACTATTTCTCAAACTAGTATATGTTACCCTTTGGGCTTCCAAAAACATTGTCTCCAGGGCCTGGGAATTCTTTATAAAATTTTTAATTTTTGTGTATCTATTTTGATAATGATCTGAAAAAAATTAATATAAACTTATCCTAAAATAAAAAAAAAAAAAAGCTATATTTAATCTTACAAAAGAATGTGCATTGTTAATAACAGTAGTGCAGGTTTAGTTATAAATATTTTATAAATTTCAGTAATTGCCATAGTAATTAAAGGTTGTCAGGTTTTTAATACTTCAAAATTTCTTACTTTTATGCACAATTTCTCTTTTTCTAAGTGGATCTTGTGTTATAACATGTTTTTAAGATTCTTGGTGTAATTGCTCCCCTGTGTATGTGAAAAGTGCTGTATCCAACAAAAAGAAATAGTCCATGCCCCTGAAAAGAAATGCCATCTGGATCAAATTTTCTACTTTCAGTTTTGTACAATACTACTAGATAGGTTTAATTTCATTTAAAATATTTATATGTTAAGTAAAATGAAAACTTTTTCTTGGATTTATGATATGTTACTTTTACTGAAAGACAGTCTTTGGTGTATCCTTTTCTGGTATGGAAACATGGAGACAGGGAATGCTTCCTTTGAAAACTCTAATATAATAATTATATCATTAGAGCACAGAGTATAAAATACTTCATTCCAGCAATTTAATAATACTTAAGTATTGAGAATCTGTTTTTAAGATCCCACTTAGAGATTTGTTAAGATTTTCAAATTGCATTTCTTGTATTAAAGCTTATAGCATCCACTGCGAAATATTTTGCTATATTACTCTCGTAATATAAAAACTGCTTTGGTTGTGTGTGTGTCTGCAGGAGTATATATCTGTGTGTGTGTGTGTGTGTGTGTGCATCAGTGGGTTCTTTAAAGAAGAATAAAACACAGCCACTGACTGAAATATAGATAATTGTGTACTTTCCTATCAGGGAAAGTATAAAACTACTATAACCATATATATATTTGCAACAAGTTGCAAGGCTGGGTCATTTCACTGAAGAGCATTTTTATTAAAAGCCACAAAATATTATTATTTCAAGAGGATGTTTATGTAAAATATAGGAAAACTAAAAAGCACATGAATTCATTCAAAAAGCACTGAAATTTCCATTTTAAGAGTGGTTTGATAATATAAATGCTGAGAAAAGATAAATAATTGGTATCTAGAGCACTATTACATTTTTAAGTTAAACTATGACAGACTTTTGTTTCTAGCAAATAATGGTGAGATAGTTAAAAATGAACTTCATTGAGTGAATACATTTGGTTTTACATAATTTCCTATTTTGAATCATTTTTTGGCCTTGTGTTATAAAGCATAATATGAAGTTATAGCTCAGTCTTTTGGGTTAAGGTGATTGAAAAAAGGAATAAAGAAAAAGAAAATGGCCTCAAATTCACCTGCAGCAAGCAAACAAGGAAAGGGGAGTATTTTTGTGCTGTAAATGTCTAACAATGGAAACAGAGAAAAGAAAACAGAAATTGAGAACTTTTTTGGATTTAATATATGTACAGACCATACATTGCATTATACCTGGTGTGTTTGGGGCAGTGCCACATAGTCAAATATGTCAGTATAGCTCTAACAAGAACTAATAATATTCACAATATGAATGCTAAATGAAGACTGTAAGTAGCATGTGGTACAAGGAGACTCCTAATGGATCTCCATTCTCCAAAAACAGTACTAAAGAAAGAGAGCGGGTTGAACAAACGCTACTGATGTCCTCCAGTTTGGAGAGAAGGAGACAAACCAGGAAGGAAAATTTGGAAAAGATGTGGGAAGACCTTCAGTGACGGAAGCCCCGCACGCTCCTGGGGGGCTCAGAAAGACAGAAAGGACGCTGGCACGCGCCAACTTCAGGTGGAGGAATAGCTGGAACCAGTGGAAGTAGCCCTGATGGGAGACATTGCAGGATTTCAGGGAGAAAGCCAAGCCGGAGTTGTCCCAAGCAAGTACAGTAATTCTCCTTCTACCCTTGAATCTGCAGACTTCAGAAAGAGAAGAGACAGCCAGCCTTAAAAATGTAGCACCCAAGTTAACAAATCGAACAGCTTTCCAAAAGCAAGGACATATGACAAAGAGAACGACTCATTCTGTGTCCTAACAGAAACTTGCAGACAGAGCATCCATTAACCATAGACTGAAAGTGTGTTTAATGCACACAAGACCAAGAGATTACAGTTGAAAAACAAATCTCATCATGTGAATGACAGATGAAGAATCCATCTATCAGGAAAACGCTGCCCAAGACACAGAACTCATTCCCCACATGTACTTCACACTATAAAAGAATTTGGAAGAAAATGGATTCAATAAAACAAAACTCAGAGACAAGGTGGCAAAATAAAATAGGGAAATTGAAGGGAAAACTTGAGAACTGAAAAACTCTATTATTAAAGATCCAATAAATAAATTAGAAACAAGAAGAAAAAAGTTAAAAATTGAAATAACAACATGGAAAATATCCCAAAACCTGTAGAATGCACATGAACACAAAGACAAAGGCTTAATGTAAATTACAAAAGTGGCAAATGTAAAGGGCAGATAAAGGATATCTATTATTAAAAATAAAATGGGAAATATATGCAAAGAAATAATATAAAAGCATTTATCTGAATTTCGAGTAAAATTGAATTAAAATTTTAAAATATACCTGTAATATGAAAAAATGTTTCAGAATAACCAAGCCAGATATATTCTCATTAAGTTACTAAATTTCAAAGATAAACTGAGGATTCTTCAAGAATCTAGACAAAAAGCAAATCAACATTAAAGGACAAAAAAACATCACATTAGCTTCAGACTTCCCAACAGTAACATTCAAAATCAGAAAGTAATGGAAAATATCCACAGAAATCTCAGGAGGAAAAAAGCATGGCCTAATATTGTAATAATGACTCAATAATTACTCAAACAGAAAAGCAATGACCAGACATTCTCAAGCATGTTCACTTTCTTGAACAAACAATTATAAAATTGATGAACAAGAGAAAAACTAAGTACAAAACCTGGAAGCGAAGAGGTTAAGAATTAGCATTGACTATGAAATACAGAACTGAAATAGAATGCCTGCTAGATGATGGTTTTAAAGTATAATACAAATGTTCTAAAAAATCCTAACAAAGACAAAAATAACCTATATCAAAGTCAGGAGGTTTAAGAAAAGGAGATGAGTAAAAGGATCACGCTGTTAATTACCCTAACTTCTGTAATGAGTCAAGTTATCGATTTAACCATGTTCTATAATTGAAACAAAAGATTTAAACTTCTTTGTGAATTAACTAATCTAAGTGAATATTAGAATAGTATTAGGGGTTGGTACTTCTTCTGGTGAAGATATATCCGTTATCAGAAATCTATTGAGTCCCAGAATTTCACTTTAATTCCTTTTTCTAGTTAAAGCACAACTAAATACATTTTACTTTCAAAAAGCATGATTCCGTCTAGGGCCACACCACCCTGAACGCGCCCGATCTCGTCAAAAAGCATGATTCCAATGTTATTAAATATTTCAGTCTCACACATGAAATACATATATATATATATGATATATATATATATTCATGATACATATGGAAAGAGAAAGATTCATTTTTTGCCTATATATGTTATCTGGTGAGATGTCCAATATGATTACTAATGCACATTAGGAATGGAATAGGTTGAGTTGTGGAGTTTGGGGATTTCTTTCTACTTTCTACTTTGAACCTACATTCTTTGCTGAAATGTTTTATAAAGAGCTTATATTAGTTTCATAATATCAATAAAAGTATTTGTTTTACATCTTTTAAATTAAAATGAACTAAGTTGGGTGCCCGGGCAGTAAGTATTCTGAACCATACATAAGGAAAAACACTTACTGATCATCTCTAGGAGGTTATTTTATATCCACTAGCTATATACAGCCATTGGGCTGAGATCCCAGCTGAGGGTGGGGATTATGGCGAATAGATCTTGGTTTTGAATCTATTTATTATGTGTGTTACCTTAGACTTTTCTAAATCCAGTTTTTATTCATTTTTATATTTTCCTTTTTCTTTTTTATGTTATTATAACAAGTTTATTTCTGCATTGGTGCCAATAAGGACAAGTTTGCATATTTGGCCATAAAAGGCAAATACAAGCATATTTTCTTACATGTGCATGGTAAACTGTTTTCTTTTCATGAAAGGAAGTATTCGAAAGAGAAAAACCTTTGTAAGCAAACCCTGAGACTATTTTATTACAATTCTGGAGACTGTTAAATCTTTTGCCATGCTTCTTGTAAGTACTATACATAGGTTAATTTGATGAACCAGTGTAAGGCACACAGATCTTTGTACTGGAATAGATTTTTCTCTGCAAAAATTCAATGAGCATTTTCTTATCAGTAAGGGAGTGAACTCACATTGTCATTCTGATCAGCATCTTGACCACAGAACTACGATTTGGTGAGCACCTATTTTGGGTTTGATGGCATAACATGTCAATGAAGTTGACATTTTATAAACTTCATCATTACTCCTTACCAAACTACAAAAATATAAGTGTTATCATTCTCAAATTTAAAAATGAGTAAACTAGGTTTGTTGACAAAAGTGCTTCTCTGTTAAAGACTTCCATTCACTGAAAGAAAACAGCTTATGACTCATCTTTAAGAAAGCATGCTTACATTTCCCTTCTAAATCCAGATATGTAAACTTGTGTGCTATGAACCCATGAAGCAAACACATTTGTAATAAAATATTCTCAAGGTTTGCTTGCAAAGGTGTTTCTGTCAAACCCTCCCTTCATTAAAAGAAAACAGTTTATCATGCATATGTAAGAAAGCATGTATACATTTGCCTCTTGTAGCCAAATGTGCAAACTTATCCTTACTGGTAACAATGCAGAAATAAACTGTTGTAATAACATAAAAAAGGAAAAGAAAAATATATAAAAATGAGCAAAAACTAGACTAGAAAAATCTAAGGTGACAGATAATAAATGGTGAAACCAAGACTCAAAACCAATATCTATTTCCCATAATCGCCATCCTCAGCTAGAATCTTGAGAACTTCATGCCCCAACTTCTCTATAGTATAATAAGTTTGCTAAATTCAAACTCTGCTGTCTGGACATTAGTAAATCTGCAAACCCTTTTCCTTGATGCTGCTGGTGACACTATCACCAGATAGGTTCTGTTGTAGTCTCCATTTCTGCAGGTTACTAAAGTCTGATTTAGAGTTTAGAACCCAGGACGAACCTCTGCTCTTAACCTTGTCCTCGAAAATGAAGACGTTTACAGTGGGGTAAACTGGACTTGTTTCCTTTACTGTCTAGTCCTAACCCCAGGTTAAGATGTGGTTTTGAGGCCTTGACATTATTATATTGACAGTGACGCTTTATACACCACTGATCCACAATGTTTCTAGTCTAAAAGTCAGGATGTGATTAGTGAAAGAATCATTTTCAAACGACTGTCAGTTTTCTATACTTTACATAATAAATTCAGACTGAACCATTTATATGATAACAGCTGTTAGAATGTCCTTGTTAAAGATCATGCTGTTCATCTATTTCACTGAGCTGAAATGCTTTCTACGTGGCATTTTCAACTCAAAAGCAATATCCTGTCCTTGGAAATCAAACTTGAGACCACCTTTTTATATTTTACTTCTGATAATGACCTCAAATATTATGCTTTAAAATATTTTACCATTATTTGTCTAAAAACAGGTAATAATGATTAGAGAACATTCACTAGTTAGGTGCCAGCAAATATTTGCCGAGAGACTACTTTCAGCTAAACATTGTACTGGCCACTGGGGGAAAAATGAGTAAAAGAGAAAAGTCCTCGTCCTTGTGGAGCTTACATTCTGATAGGAAATGCAGATTAATAACAGAAGTAAACAAATACATAAATTAATTGGATATTGCAAGTGCCTTGGTGGGAGGTGTGCTGCCTGGGGAACGTAGGCCGTGTGGTCAGAGAGGCCCATTCTGACAAAAACAACACTAGAGGAGGAGAAGACACTCACCATGTGCACAGCAAGAGAAAGAGAATTCTAAGGGGAAGAGAGTGTGTACCTACCAAGGTCCTGAGGCAGGACAGGGGTGCTTGTTTTTGAAGATGGCCGGTGTGTTTGGAACACAGCAAGAGAGCACAGGTATGGGCATAACTGAGTTAACAATAACAGTGAGTACAATTGCTCCACCTTGCCTTGTCTTCACTCTTGCCATTGTTCTCTTTTTCTGTGTCCTGCTGTCTTGAATTGCTAATATGAGTCAGTCACCCAGATCCAGTTCCCTGACCGGGGGGCTAAGTTATAAATGGCATTCCTCACCAGGCGTGCATTGTAAGTGCATCATATGCAAAAGAAGGTGTCAGCCGCTCAGGATACAAGGATGAGCTGCACCAACTCTCGTGCCAGTCAAGTGGAATCTACGGACGAGAAAAGCCAGTAAACACAGGCTTAGATGAGGAGCCCTCAGGGTGCACGTGGTTGCTCAGAGGAAGGCCATAACACTGGAGCTCTGACTCAGGAGGCTGGTCTTCCTTTCTGAGCAGTGCATGTGGGGGGTGCAGTGCCTTTCCCTCTGGCAATGCTGTAACCTAGCCCAGGGGCGCTGGCTGGCTGTGCCCACCAGTGCCAGCTCATCTCCCAAAGAGGAACCTGTCAGCGTGTGCACTGCAGGCTTTTAGTGCGATCTCGGATGGGCCTGAAAATCTTTTTAAACAAACCTCGGCATCTCTTGCTCTCATAGTTTTAGCAAGTTAATTATTCTTCCATAAGATGCGGTTTCCTGGGATTCAGTGAGCTGACACTGCTTCAAGTTAATTTATTCAAGGCTGAACAGTTACATTGATTAGACAGCTCCACAGCACCAGGTCTCGATGCTCGTGGAGCTGCTCTCTTTGAATTTCAATGCAGTTAATGACAGAGAAGTGAGGCGGGCACGTCTTCTGCTATCACCCCGGGAGAGTTCAGTAGAAGTTTTTAGGGTTCTTGTTAGAAATGGCCATGAGTTTTTAGGTAGTACTCTGAAGCGCGCCCTCTTAATAAGTTTCAGTAGTGCCAAAGCTGAGGCGGAGCGAGTTCATCGCGCAGTGCAGTGTGGACCCTTTCAGGATAAAGGTGCTGTGTATGACGAAGAGAACTGCATTGAAAGTGGCGTTTTGAAGAACGATGGTGGCGTGGTGCACACCTAGCAACCGGCAGGGGAAAGTGCTGGGGTGAGTGACTGGCGTTTCTGCATGAGCCGCGAGCAGAGGGAGGGGCATGCGGGGCGAACCCAGAGCAGAGCAGGGAGGGCCGGGGAGGATGGTCAGGCTATTGACCGGCAAACAGCCCGCCCCGCACGCTGCCTAAGTGTTTTAGCGCCTCGACCTCCTTTCTTAACTCTTCACTTTTTAAAAGTCTCAGATCGTGCCCGAAGCCCGCTGTGTTCATTGATTACATGCGCTGGGGAAGAGCACAGAGAGCTGCTACCCACCTCTCCGGAGAAGGTCCCTGGGACTTCTGACTCCGAGGCTCGTCACCGCACAGAAAGGATGCCCAAGAAGATGCCTGAAGGGGCAGCGGCTTCTTAGGACTCTAATTTCCAGTAGCTGCTGGCGGTAATTTTTGCTGTTATTCCTCCCAGTGCCTCAAACTTTCTTTAAAATTCTGCTCGTCAATCTCTCATCGGCCCTAGGGATGCTCTAGAGGAGTAAGGAAGTGAGTTCGAGTACAGGGGAGGGCACAGGGGAGGGCAGGTGGGAGACTCAGACAATTCACTGGGAGAGGAGGTCAGGAAAACAATGCCAAGGAAGTGTCACCTCCCAGTGATACTCGGAGATATTGGGACTCACTAAAATTTCTACAACACAAGTAGGTGGAGGCTTGGGTCATTCTGTCAAGATGTTAAAGGAAAGGGACTAGAGAAAACTGGGGGACATGCGATCACTCAGGTTACAGACAGTTGGTTTATAGAAATGCATTGGGTACAAATGTCAGTCCATATGTTCACATATACAGTTATTTTCTGTTATAGCTGAACTTGGTGTCTGCTGCAAACTTCGGCTTGGCGGTGGAAAGTTAATCGTAACTGCTCTCCGGGATGCACGTGAGCGCCCGGTGAATGCGCGATCCCCGTGAGACAGAGGAAACCCGCCTGGTCTTGTTCCTCCTCCTTCCACGCTGGCCACCAAAGAGGAGGCCCTCGTTCCCTCCTGGCCTCCTTCAGGGTTTGGGGAGGAGACTGCATCCTGTGGTGGTGGCCGCTTCCGTCTGGTTCATCAGTGCCTTGTGCAGATGTGCTGCTGCCTCCTTCCCCACGTTGAACACGCGGGATCTGTGAGGCCAGGTGCTGATGTGTGCTATGCATCCTGCGCCTCTGGAACATTCTGGAGGCAAAAGTTCTCCCTGTCTCCAAGCCTGGAGGTGGAAAACAGGATGTAGACAGGAAGCTTCCTCATATCATCAACCATTCCTTTGGGTCCTAGGTTTTTCAAACATAAAAGCCAAAACGTTTGAAACCCGAGAGCCTTTCTCTGCGTTTCTTTAGCTTCATGAATCCTCCGAGGAGAGGAGGGATAACTGGCTGAAAACACAGACAGGAGGGAGGAAACACAAGAAAAGAAGAAATATCTGTATTTTTAAAAAGCGGTGTCCCTCTGCAATATTTTTCGGCATTGATTAAGCAATTAGTTTGCCTCACGATACAGACGACACCTCACCACTCCTTGGAAGGCTTCTGCCTTCCCGGGCAGACTGCGAGGCGCGCCAGCACCGGGAGCCTGTGCACGGTGCCGCAGTCGCGCCCACTCTCCGCTCTGCGCAGGGTGCCTTGGCCATTCAGGCTTTGAAGTACTTAACAAGTAATGAAACATGTCCATCCCTGAATAAACGTTTGTTAAACATGAAATTATTTTGCTAGTTTTAGGACTCATCTATTTGTCCTGGCGTTTATGGAGCAACTACATCGTACAATGTGCAACAGTGAACAAAACAAAGCTCTGTCCGTAAGGGGGATACATTCCAGTGAAAGGAACAGAAAGTACAGACATGAACACGTTCACTTCCCTACCCAGTCATTCTTAGCCTCCTAATCCACCGGGAGGATTTTTAGTTAGCACTAATTAGAGTTTGCTACATTGTAAACAAACTGGTTTTAACTAAGAAGAGCAAACTTCACGTATGTTTCTGACAGTAACATGCCAAAAATATATCCTCACTTCCTTTTCCATCTTCACCTTCGAGGATCCATTTTCTTCTCACCTCACAAAGTGTCCTTGGAATGGCATTGCAGGAATTACAGCCTTCTCCAAAAGAGAACACCTGTCCCAAAGTCATATGGGTTAGCTGTCTTTCTAAGAAAAGTTAGAACTTACAACTGAATCCTAATTCTTTTTTGATAATAAAATGCCTGATCTATGCAACGCTTTTTCCCCATTTCTCAAAACTACATGTTAAGAAAAGGTCACAAGCTGGCTCCAGTTCCCTGTGTACTTTGCAAGGTAATATAGTTCTGAAAAGAAAAGCTTAACTTAAAGGTCAAGCTACAAAATCTATTTTTCCTGACTATAAACTATGGAACATTCCCTGAGATGCATGGATTATGCTGTAGTAGCCTGGATGGTATGAACATTCCTTTGAACTAATGAGAATTTTTTAAGTATCAGGAAATCTGGGAGAAAACAAAACAAAGCTAACTACACAGAAGTGCGCTAAAGGCCCTATTAACTCAGAAGTCTTTAAATCTGACTTATGTCCATCATCTCACTCCATAGAAACACACTCATACATGAGACCAAACACACTTTACATAGCTTTCCTTAATAAAGAAATTTAAATAAAATGTCTTTAATATTTTTCCAACCAAATTGACTCTAAATTTGAATTAATTGAATTCTAGTATCAAAAATGAATTCCATTTTAAAGTCAGAATAGGTATCACAATTTCTTTATCAATTCATCTGCTGATGGACACTTATGTTGATTCCATATCTTGGCTATTGTGAATAGTGCTGCAGTAAACATGGGAGTGCAGACGTCTTTTTGATATACTGAATTCTCCGCCTTTGGATATACACCCAGCAGCGGGATTGCTGGGCCATATGGTAGTTCTAGTTTCAGTTTTTTGAGGAACCTCCACACTGTTGTCCATAGTGGTTGCACAGTTTACACGCCCACCAACAGTGTATGAGCGTTCCCCTTTCTCCACATCCTCACCCACATTCATTTTTGCCTTTCTTTTTGATAACCCTTTCTTTTTGGTAAAATCCATTTTAGCAGGGGTAAGATAATATCTCATTTTAGTCTTGGTTTTCATTTCTCTGATGATTAATGATATTGAGCATTTTTAATACACCTGATTGCCATTTGTATGTCTTCTTTTAAGAAATGTCTATTCAGATCCTTGGCCATTTTTCAGTTGAATTGATTGATTTTTTACTGTTGAGTGGTTGGAGCTTCTTATATATTCCAGTTATTAATCCCGTGTCAGATGGGTAGTTTGCAAATATTTTTTCCCACTCTATGAGTTGCCTCTTCACTTTGTTGACTGTTTCCTTTGCTGTGCAGAATCTTTTCAGCTCATGGTGGTCCCATTTGTCCAATTTTGCTTTGATTGCTTGTGCTTTAGAGATATTACTCAAGTCTTAGAAATTGTGGTACATATACACAGTGGAATAGTATTATGCCACGAAGCAGGCCACACAGCACATTTCTTTAATCGATCATTATTATTTACCACTCAGCAAACACTTTTCTTTTTTGCAAATTATTTAAACTAAATATTAAGAATATTTTGCTTTCTTCATGTGTTAATCATACAAAGACATGGCAAGTGGCCTAAAGAATGGCAAGTTTCTTCTTGTTTCTTAAACTTTACCATTTTGGGTGAAATCATGACAAAGAAGGCACAAGGAGTAGTACGATTCATGGAAACAGGAAATAAGGACAATAAAACTGCTCTGGATGTACATGGAACTTCCTTTCTAGGGAAATAGACTCTCTTACATTGAGTACCTTGCTTACAAATGTAATTTCACAGGTTTTGAGTTTTGTTTTGTTTTTTTGTTTGTTTTATAAACATTGGGATGTTATAAGACTCCCTAATCCTCAGTCCTCACAACCTTTAAAAAATGCTAAAAAAGCTAATACTTTTTAAATAGCCCCCTCTTGCTGAGTTTTATCTTTCTGTAGAGTGGAATAAAATTAATATAATAAAACTTCTTTTCAAATTATACATTATATTTAAAGATACATATCATCTGTGTAAAAAGTAGTCATTTATCATAGAACCTAAATAAATGAAAATAATTCTATAAACTTTATTTTCTACCATCCTAATTTAAAGTAGTCACTTTAATATGTGTTTTTTATTTCTTATCAAAAATCTGTGCTTATCCAAGCCATTAGATAAAGGGTTCCTTGGTAATTTGTTATCTACATGTTAAAACATTAATAATCAAATACAGATTAAAACTGATGGTTTCAATAATGACAAACCTAGAACTTTTTTGTTACATCCATGGGACAATGATTTATTTACTGATGTATCCTCCATAGCAGGAAAAAAATGCCTAGCACTTATCAGAGCAAAATAAATATTGGTTTAATGAATAAATTTGTATGAATTTTAATGCTTTGTTCCTTTGCTGAGACTTGCTTCCAACAGAATTCAAGATGGTCAATTTTTGACCATTCCTGCTCCCAATCTTTGTAACCACATCTTAGTACCATGAATATGTCCCAACTTTATCTAAATTGCAGGATACTTTACCCTAGTTTGCTACAGTTTGTGTTTAAAAAGTAAACAACAGGGAAAAAGGGTCCTTTCTAGATTACTTAAATATTTTAGAAATCTAGAATTTAAATTTGAACTTGGCCATGGTAGAGGGCAGTCTACCGAAGGAAAAGGAGTCATTATATCATGAAGACACCTATAATGTATGTTTATCATAGCACAGTTCACAACTGCAAAGGTATGGAATGACTCTAAGTGCCCATCAATAGATAAGAGGATAAAGAAAATGTGAATTTAGAAATATGGTATATACACATCAGCCAGAAAAAATAATGAAATATTGTCTTTTGCAGCAACTTGAATAGAACTGGAGGCCATTATGTTAAGTGAAGTAACCCAGACGTGGAAAACTAAATACCACAGGTTCTCACTCACCAGTGGGAGCTAGGCTGTGGGTAGACAGTGTCGTGCTGGTGGTATGATGGATACTGGACAGTCAGAAGAGGGGAGACTGGGAAGGGTGAGGGATGGAAAATTACCTATTGGGTACAATGTACACTATTCAGGTGACAGGTGCACTAAAAGCCCAGACTTCACCACTATACAATTCATCCATGTGACCAAAAACCAACTGTACCCTCAAATGTATTGAAGTAAAAGAAATAACATTACTTGTTTTGACTGGTTGATGCATAGGGTCATTAAGCTTCTAAGAACTCAAAAAACCCATGAAGGAGCAGTAGACTGAAACAATTTTAACTTATGGAAGTATAGGTTTAAAAATCACTAATAAATCAGCCTAGGTAGTCCCATGAAGCAGATTTTAAAGTCACGTGGTTTAAAATTTTCCTTAACAATGAAATTTATCTATCAGGCAAATACATTCCAGAATGTATTTCATCATCAGATTTGAAAAATAACAATTATTATTTTTATAAAAGACAAGTTTAACTTTGCAGGTTTTCATTCTGTTATTTCACAAACATATTGTTACTTAAATTGCCTTATCCAAAAAACAGCTGCCTTAGATTCTTTGGTATCCAAGGTGGTTAAATATGTTTCACTGTCTAATTTAGATGGTTGCTTTCTATGCTCTTTGAAATTCTTTTAAGAGAAAGGTTGAGTAGTGCAGCAGTGAAAGAACTGAGAGACCAAAGTAATTATTGCTTTCAAAAAGCTTTAAAAAGTACAGCTGATTATGAAAAGAAGAAGAAAATATCATATCAGAAAAACAAAGATTGGATACTGTTCATTGCTTCTTTGAAATGGGCAAAAAGAGTCTAAACATCAATGAATCGGCATTCATGGACATGTTTTTAAAACCCAGTAAGTCAATCAATCACTTTATTTTTACTGTGGAGATGTGTACTTATTGTAAAATAAATCCTTGACTTTTGATAAATCTACATATAAGAACAAAGTGGCAATAAGTAAAGAAAATAAACACAGCCCTTGGCAAGGCTAGATGCTTTGGGATGCACCACATGAAGGCAGCTGTAGTGAAGATATGTCCAACCATTATTTTAGGCGGGAGGTCAGGTTCTGTTTTTGGTGCTTTACACATGTTACCTCTCTTGATCACCACAATACCACCATGGAATAGGTAATGATATTTCCCATTTTCAAGTAAGAATATTTCGCTGTTATACTTTTGAAATAACTTGGCAATTATAACATGCCTTAAAGGCAGTTTTTATAAAGTCACTTTTAAAGTCTACTAAATAAGGTCAATCACAGAATATTATTTGTTTAATTGATTAATTTCTATCTCTTCTCAAAAATAATTTGAAACAACATGCAAAATAAAGGTTAAAAAGTTTAATAAGTTGCAATAGTATTTCAGAACCATGGAAATAAAATATAAGAAATCGTAGTTAGTTCTTATAACCTGAAAGAAAGAAGTCTAGAAATGAATTCCTCAGAGGAGCCAAGTCGTTTTTTTTTTTTCCTGTAACCAAATTCTAAAAGAATGTCTAATGTGAGGATTTATATAGGGCACATTAAATAATGTAATAGACGGTGTCAGAGTAAATGAAGGAGCAAGTTTCATATGCCTCTTTCTTGTCGCGACCTCCATAAAAAGTAAGAACATTATGCTGCAGCTCAGCCAGGGTAGTTGCAAAGGGCAAAGCTAATAACCAGGTACATTGCTTTTC